TCCCCCCGCCTAGCGCCGCGCGCCCGGGGCCAGCGCTCCCCCCGCCATGCGCCCGGTGCCAGGCCAGCCACGGTGCTACAGAAATAGGAATGCTTTTCTGTCTGAAGAGTTTGTCTTCCCTTTTTATGACTTACTTATTGAGCAGCATCATGCTCCTCACAACCTTCAGGTACCACCACTGTTCCCTCCATGGGTGGAATATATTTTTAATTTGCACCAAGATGTGTGAATGTGCACCATAAGTAGTAACAAAAAATCTAGCTTAGGCGTTCTGCTAATCAGCCAAGTGATATCTGAATCTCTCCTGAGTGGCCACACTAGCACATAGCTTACAAGGAACACTGGATATCATCTCTTTATATGCAGTATTTACAGAAAAGGTGAGTCAATATTGGTAGGCCACTTATCAATAAAATGCAGATAAAAGGAGAGATACCTCTATAACAGGGGTGGCCAACCAGTTAGACACAAAGAGCCAAAAGAGCTGTGGATAGTAGTGCAAAGAACCACACATCCCTCCCCCAGGGCCAGGCACCCCCCGTCCTCCCTCTCCCCCAGAGCCAGGTGCCCCCAGGCCCCTCTCATTCTAACCCAATGCCTGGGTCTCACCGGAGCTGCCACCGCCACAGCCACGCCCTTTTCCTTCCAGGAACTGGGGCATGTGCACAAAGTGGGCATGCCCACTTGTAACCCCATAACCCTGAGAGCCACATTTCTGTGAGCAAAGAGCCACATGTGGCTCAAGAGCAATAGGTTGGCCTCCCCTGCTTTATAAATACAGATATTGTAATCCTTAGTTTGTATATAGTTTATACATATGTTTGAAGGTCTTAGGGGCTTCATGTGCATCCTGTAAGCTACATGCAGCTTATAGGGGTTCTACATGTGGCTGAGACATTTTGTTTTCTATTACCCACATATGTGGTTACCAGATTCCACTTGTTTCCATCAGCGTAGTTTTTCCTGAAACTGGTATTACTAAAGTGGCATGCAAGTAAAACAAGGGCAAGTTAAGTGAGGTGCATGCTGAAGTAATTTCTGTGAGAGCCATGCACTCCCCCTTCATCCAGTCAAAGAGCTGTTACGGTTCAATCAATACACCTCACAAATTCTAGGTACACAAGTGCAGTTAGCAAAACTCCTCTAATCCAAGAGACCATCTTGTTATGACAATCTTGCAGCCCACTGAAATGATAAAAGGCCTTTGATGCAGCCTGCTTGCTAGCCTAAGTGGCCCTGCATAGTCATATGGCTAGATCATTAAAGGTATTTAGGCATCTAACTCCCATTAGTCGCCTAAATACTTTGGAGGATCTGGGCCTTAATTTTTATATCTAGGATGCAAAGGCTAGATGAATGTTCAGAGTTACATTTTCCAATTTAACATCAAAATGATGTTCAACAGATACACTTATATGCTAGTTGTATAATCAAAACCTATGTTTGCACATGCAGATCTGCTAACTGTACCAAGCCCTCCAGTATATTTGTGGGCTAAATGTGGGTTTTGTAGAGTTTTATACAGCAAGTATGTATGTTAACAGTGGGCTTTTGTGAATTAATTTGAGCAGCAACCAATAATTTGGAACATTTCAATATCCATGTTGAAATTTGGTTCATATAATGAAAAATGGAATTTAAAATCTCAGTTGAAACTGATCAGCTTCACCATGATGGAAAGCTAACATTGCTAAAATAATTGTATAGCAGTATTATACACATTTTATACTATTTATACTTTTGAAAATTAATTGAATATTTGGGCTCTCTATTCTGTTGTGCTTTGAATAGGATGTGGTATTGATGAGAGCACTCCGCGATATGAATCTTCCTAAGTTTGTGTTTGAAGATGTACCTCTCTTCCTTGGCTTGATCTCTGACCTGTTCCCTGGCCTGGATTGCCCCCGAGTCCGCTACCCCAACTTCAATGATGCAGTAGAACAAGTGCTGGAAGAAGCTGGCTATGTCGTTTTACCAATCCAGGTAGAAGAAATGTTGATTTGTTTAATATTGTTGTAAACAGTGGGTAAGATCCTCATATGGCATATCTTGAAGTGACTCCCTTGAGGTCAGGCAAGCTATACTGATATACACTAACTGAAGATCTGGCCCATATGAGCTTTTTATACACCATTACCTAAGTTATTGTGTATTTTTCAGGTGGATAAAGTAGTTCAGATGTATGAGACAATGTTAACTCGTCATACTACTATGGTGGTTGGACCTACTGGAGGTGGCAAGTCTGTTGTCATTAATACTTTGTGCCAGGCTCAAACCAGGTGAGCACTGAAGATAGATGTAAGGGAATCAGAATTTGAAAAGGAGTAGCCATTAGGACAAATATACTCTAGCATAGGGCTACTCAACATGCAGCCCGTGGCCTGTTGTATGCGGCCCGTGGCTCCTTGAGCCACTTCCTGGGCTGCCTGCCTGCCTCGTTGCTGTGGGCTCCAATGGCAGCACCTCCCGGCAAG